CATAGTGCGTTTTATTGGTGGATGCCGTAAACCTATGGTCTGGTGTATTGTGACTGAATATGCAAAAGGGGGATCAGTGCGTCAGTTTCTGGCCAGGAGACAAAATCGATCAGTGCCCTTGAAGTTAGCGGTGAAGCAGGCATTAGACGTGGCAAGGGGGATGGAATATGTACATGGCCTGAATCTGATACACCGTGACCTGAAATCTGACAATCTACTGATTTCTGCGGACAAGTCGATCAAGATTGCGGATTTTGGGGTTGCTCGTATTGAAGTGCAGACTGAAGGAATGACACCAGAGACTGGAACATACCGCTGGATGGCTCCGTAAGTGTCTGGACTCTCTAGCAGCCTTATTAAATCATCTTATCTTATTCCTGTCTCTGGTCTTCGGCATTACCCCTTAACAGAGCTATGTTAGCTGTTTCTCTCTCTTTGGAATGCTTGATCTTTTTTTGTGTTAGTTTTATAGTTTCCAACGTCCTCCTGCTAAGTGTATTTGATTCATATATGTTAGATATTCGTGCCTATATGGTACCACCTTTTACTTACCAAGAAAAAAGAGGAATGGCTGAAACAGAAATATGTTTGTTCAGCATGATATGTTTGCTTGGACAATAAATTCGTACTATAACCTTCTCTCAATGGTCTGAAATATAACAGCACATTGCATATCTTTTGCAAAATTGAAAGGTAATGTGCCCTTAATAGGGAGCATTTTCCCTTAAGCTATTTTTGTTTTTGTACCTTTTCTCCTTGAACTATGGAAAGGCAACACCATTATCCCTTCTGTATACTCCACCTTAAGTTGAATGTATAACATGCTTATTCTGTGTGCTGCACTCCACTGTTTCTGGTCTTTAATAATTGAAAGTAGTGTATGGAACATGGATGTACTGCAATTTAATCTGGCCAATTATTTCATATTTGAATATTAAAAATTAATTGCTGGTGTCGTGTAAAATTACTTTTTCACAAGAAAAGGAAAAAAAAGGAAATAAAAGGGGAAAAAGGGGTAAAAAAGGGAAGAGACATCAGTTGGGTAAAGACTCTAACTAACTTCTCAGTAGTTTATTACTTATTAAGAAAAAAAAGTTGGAATATTTCACTATCAGTTAGTGTTTTGACTACTTTCCATCAGCAAATTGCTAAAGATTAGAAACAAATTGCTTGTTAGCTAAGAATAAAAAGTAACGGGGGATAGTAGTTCATACTTCATACAACTATAACTACAACTACAACAACTATGCCTCAATCCCACACTAATTCTGGCTGTGTTTGAAGATTGAATTTGGTATTAAGAATATGCAGTAATGTTCTTTAACTAAATTTTTTTTCTGAGTAAAAAGAGCTAGAGTGTGATTTTCTATGTAACTACAACCTATGCCTCAACAACAGCGTGTTGCATTCCTTTTTCAAGGTTGAAAGTTTTTTTTTTTGAGAAGGTAACAAGTTTTATAAATTAAGTAGAAAAACCTTTAGCATAAAGATTATGCTAAAGGTTAAAGATAGTTACAAGACCTTCGAAAAAGAGCAAAAACGCAAACCCTGACTTGTGGTAGTTACAAAGACCCAATAATATCAACTATAGACTCTACATCCTCTACCAAAGCTTCTTTATACCAAAAGTGAAACAAAAACATACATCGTCTTGATGTTCTGTTCAGTGTTAGCTCTATCTCCAAAGCATCTTGAATTTCTCTCCAACCAAGTTGTCCACCAAATACATGCTGGGATCAACTTCAACCTCCACCAATGCTTCTGCTTGCCTCAGTATAATACCTGGGTCATTCAAGCAAGCTATTATTTCTGCAGTTGTCCTAGGTATTGCCCATTTCACACCTTTCATACTCATGAAAAGATACCACAGCCTACTAGTTACTTTGCAATGTAAAAAGAGGTGGTTGTTTGTTTCAATCTCTTTTCCACACAAGAAACATTTGGAACACATAAGCATTCCTCTCCTCATTAAACTGTCATGAGTTAGAACAACCTCTTTGACTACAAGCCAACAAAAGCAAGCCACTTTAAAAGAGATTTTCACCTTCCCGATGTGCTTCCAGTGCCATGTCTCATTGTTCATGTGACCAGAGCTATTCAGGAGTCCATATGCTGACTTTACAGTATATACTCCTCCGCTGTTTCTTTCCTCTTCTTTTGTGATGCCCTTAAAGCCATCCAACAATTTGTAGAATTCAATGACTCTCGTAACCTCCCAGTCATTGGGGAACCTTCTGAACGTAACATTCCACCCCTGCGTACTCCATACCTCAGCCACAGTAGCTTGGGGTTGCTGCACTGTAGTGAACAAATCTGGAAAAGCCTCTTTAAGATGTCCATTACCCATCCAATCATCATTCCAGAAAGAAGTTTTATTGCCATTCCCCACTTTGATACTAACATTGCTGATAAATCCTGGCCATAAATTTCTAATTGACTTCCATACACTTGCACCATAGGGTCCAGAAGCTCCTGCTGTACACCACCTTCCATCTGCCCCATATTTTTCACAGATAACCTTCCTCCATAAAGCTTGATCCTCTAGAGAAAATCTCCATAGCCACTTCATAAGTAAACTCTTGTTATGCTGTCTCAAATTTCTGATTCCCAAACCTCCATCCCTCTTGCTTTTTAGCAAAGTGCTCCATTTTACCAAATTGTAGCTCCCTATTTAGTGCTCCATTTCTGATTCCCAAACCTCCATCCCTCTTGCTTTTTAGCAAGGTTGAAAGTTAGTGTGTGCTTAATAGGGAGCATTTTCCCTTGAGCTATTTTTTGAACTTTTTCTCCTTGAAATATGGAATGGTAATACCATTAAACCGTCTATATACTTTGCCTACAACTGAGTGTATAACATGCTTATTCTGTGTGTTGCGCTCCACTATTTCTTGTTGTTAATAATTGAAGTTCTGTATTTTACACTATGGATATACTACAATGTAATCTCAACAACAACAACCCAGTAGTCCCACCAGTGGGGTTTTGGGAGGGTAGAGTGTACGCAGACCTGACCCATACTCCGGAGGGGTAAAGATACAATGTAATCTGTCCAAGATTAATTAAAAGCTATTTAAGAGTGTCATGTATAATTACTTTTTTACCAAAAAAGGAAAAAAGAAATAAGAAAGAGATATTAGTTGGGTGAAGATTCTAATTGTAAAGACTTAGTAGTTCATTTCTTATTAAGAAAAAAAAATGGATTGTTTCACTGTTGTTTAGTGTTTTGACTACTTTTCAATAGCGAATTGTTAATTGTTTTTGGAAATTGGCTTTGGTACTTAAGTATGCAATTAGCCAATTATGTTCTTTTCCTAAATTTCTTTTTGGAGCAAAAAGAGCTAGAGTGTGATTTTGTGTTGTAATTTTCGATAGAGCATAACCAAAGGGGAGTGCTCCCTAATTATCAAAGGAGGTGTTTTTTTTTTGAATTGGTAACTATTGTATATATTAAAAACATCAGTACATAGGTTGCACTGAAAACCAGATTTACGTGGAGAGGATTAGTAGATGTTCTAATTCGAGACCTAGCAAGATCCTAGTATGTCTATGATTGTCAATGTATCTTCTATGTAAATCTGTTTGCACCAAAAACAAAAAAGAAGAATACAATTGAGTTTGATCTTCTGCACTGGATTGCTTCTATCTTCAAAACATCTATTGTTCCTTTCCCTCCAAACTGTCCACCAGATACAAGCCGGGACAGTCCTCCATCTATCTCTACTAGTTGCTTCAGCTCCAGTTTCTTCCCAGCTATAAAGGACATCTTTAAGCCTGTATGGCATTGACCATGAAATACCCCTAAGACTAATAAAGATTTTCCATAGTTGGTCTGTAATCTTGCAATGTAGAAACAAATGTGTGACAGTTTCAGCATTTTCCCCGCACAGAAAACATCTTGAGCACAGAGAAATTCCCCTTTTTATGAGATTATCCTGGGTTAATACCGCCTCCTTTGCTAGTAGCCAAGTGAAGCAAGCTACCTTGTATGGAATCTTTGTTTTCCATATATGTTTCCAAGGCCATGGGTCCACCTGTTGATTATTATGATTCAAAATCTTATATGCATCCTTCACCCGGTAAACCCCTCTGTTGTGCCTCTTCCACCAAAGTGAATCAAAACCTTCCTGTAATCCTTTAAATGCTTCCAGCTCTTTGTAAAGGTCAGCTAATCTTGTTATCTCCGGTCATTCAACTGTCTTCTTAGAGCGATTTCCCATCCTTGATGACTCCTCATATCAGCTACTGTCTTATGCTGGTTTTGTGCTAAACCAAACATATCGGAGTATCTTTCCTTTAAGCTTCCGTTTCCTAACCAATTATCATTCCAGAATGATGTGTTCCTTCCGTTGTTCACTCTTATGGAGGAGTGATTCTTCATTATAGGCCAAAGTTCTCTGATGGATTTCCACACACTTACTCCATATGATGTTCTGACTTTTTTTGACACCCAGTATTTTCCTCACCATACTTTGCTTTGATCACTTTGCCCCATAAAGATTGGGGTTCTTGAGAGTACTTCCATAACCATTTCATTCTAAGAGCCTTGCTATGATTCTTCAAATTCCTTATTCCTAAACCACCTTGTTTTTTATCCATTGTGAGTGTCTTCCATTTAACTAAATGGAAGACCTTTTTCTCCTTATTACCTTGCCAAAGGAATGATCTTAGGAGTTTGTCCAATCTCTGTAAAATGCCTGCTGGAATTGTGAACAAAGACATCATCTAAGTAGGAAGTGAGTCTAATACTGAGTTGATTAGAACTAGCCTGCCCCCCAATGATAGGTATTGTGATTTCCATCTTGACAGCTTCTTCTCACACTTTTCTATGACTGAATTCCAGATTTCTTTTGATTTGGATCTTGCACCAAGAGGCATCCCAAGGTAAACAGTTGGTAGGGACCCAACTTCTCCTCCCAATATCTGTGTCAGTTGCTCCATGTTGTTAACTTCATTAATGGGAAAAATATTGCTCTTTCTCCAGTTGATGTGTAATCCTGAGACTCCCTCAAATAAGACCAAAATGATTCTTAGGAATCTAAGTTGGTCCTTTTCGGCATCACAGAAGACTAGAGTATCATCAACATATTGTAGATGTGTGATCTCTAGATTGTTTGCCCCACTCCTGTTTACCTCAAAACCTTTAACCCATTCACTGACTTTAGCCGTTTTGATCATGTTGTTCAATCCTTCCATGGCTATAATGAATAGAAAGGGAGATAAAGGATCACCTTGTCTTAGACCTCTGTGTGAACGGAAAAAACATTTAGGAGATCCATTTATGAGAATGGAGAATTTTACAGTAGATATGCAAAATTTTATCCATCTATTCCATTTCTGCCCAAAACCCATTAGTTCTAACATTCTGAGTAGGAAGCTCCAATTTACATGATCATAGGCCTTCTCAATATCTAATTTGCATAAGATTCCAGGTTCCTTCTTTTTTATTCTTGAATCCACAGCTTTGTTGGCAATCAACACAACATCTATTATTTGTCTTCCTTTGATGAAAGCCATTTGTTGAGCATCGACAATTTTCCCTACCACCCTCTTAAGTCTTTCGGTTAAGACTTTTGAGAGCAATTTGTAGAAGCTCCCTATCAGACTGATCGGTCTGAAATCTCTCAATTCTTTCGCACCTGTCTTCTTTGGAATCAAAGCTATATATGTTGCATTGAAGCTTTTCTCAAACATCTCCTGAGAATAGAAGTTGAAGGCCGCCATGATGTCTTCCTTCAAAATGTCCCAACACTTTCTGAAAAAACCCATTGTGTATCCATCCGGACCTGGGGTCTTGTCACTTGCACACATTTTCAGACAGGTCAAAACTTCTTGTTCCTCAAAGTTACTCTGTAAAAACTCCCTTTCTGATTCAGAAATTCTTGAGCTATTTTCGAAATTGACCGTTGGTCAGCACTCTTTAGGTTCTTTGTATAACTCCTTGTAGAATTCAGTTATCTCAATCTCTATTCTGTCTGGATCCTC